TTAAGTGGGAGAACTTGCACAATTGGTGGCTGACTAAATACTTTTTTCCCCCCACTGTATTCACTTTTATTCCTCTAACACATGAATCTTTCTTTTTGTTTTAATTTTGATCCCAATGGCACACATTGGCCCCAATATTTATAGAAATACCCTTATGTGCCCAATACAAATGAATGGAGTCACTTTTATTGTAAATAAGAATAAGCATGTTTCTGAACACTTCTCCATTAAATGTGGACGCTACCAGATTATAGATAATCATGAATGAATCGTGAATAATGATGAGTAAGAAAGTTAAGAGGCATAAATATCAAACCCCCCAAAAAATGCTAACCTCTCACCATTACCAATAACAGGGGAGGTTAGCATGTTTTTTGGGGGGTTTGACATTTATGCCTTTAACATTCTCATTATTCACAATTCATTCATGAATCACATTTCAGAAATTTCGGAATATTGAAGAATATACACAATTAGATTTAGCAAATGTTATATATATATATATAGTTCAACATAATATACTCTGTGCATATCAAAGTTACAGAGTGGGATCTCTTCTGGTTTTAAAGTTATGGCCCATTTTACACACATAAATTGGCATAGTAGGCAATGTAACCAATCACAGCCCTGCAAATCAAGGCAACCATTTTGAATCCATTTTCACATCCACTCTGTTTTAAATGCTTACAAATTGGATCAAATTTCTAAAAGTAGCAGAGATCCCACTCTGGAACTTTGATATGCCCGTAGAGTTTATTATGTTCAACAATATTGAACAATGAGTCAAATATGATGTTATATTTTCAATATTTAAGTTTATATTTTTCAATATTCATAAATGTAAGAAATGTGTCATTGAAATCAAAATACTAATATTACAGAGCAAGCAGTAAAGCATCATATAGACACCACAGTTTGCTTTGTAGCACCTACAGATTAAACATGGCGTTGTAAGAGGCCTGGGTAATATGCCAACTTCCTTTTATTATTTCTCAATCATGCTTTAAAATGTCAAATATGTAAACAATCCTTCCTCCAAAGGACCCTACTATGGATTAAATAACGTAAAGATCACAAAAATTGTATTTTTTTGGTTCTAGTTTTGCGAGGAATCACCCACTTTAGATCTCAAATCCAAAATGCTGTCCTATAGAGCCAAATTAAAAGTTTCAGCTTCACTGTCCAAGTAAATGAGGGGAGTGTGTATTGCTTCATACACAGAAATCCAAATGTATTCATAATTCACTGAACATAGAAAATGCATTGTAAACATGTAATGTCTTAGAGATGGTCATAATGAAACTACAAAGCTAAATTCATGAGTTTGTCACTGTAAATCATGTAACAATTAAGGAAATACAGAGATTCTCCAAGAGATTTGATATTCCTTTAGCTGATTATTATCTGACAGAATTAAAACAATTGTAAGAAAGTTGTCAAGTAGAAATACAGATTGATATGAATTGATATACACCACATTAACACTCAGCAGCAACAAGCAAATGTGGACCTAATTTGGCGAAAGCAATGGTAAGTATTATGGAGTATTATTGTGAGTAAAAGGTGCTTTCTCTACCACATGTGGGCGCACTTGTGGAAGATTAGAAAGCGGTATCAAGTAACCAAATGAAATTACAATTGATCTTCAATTTCAGTCAATTGAGCTGATTTCCTTTGTCTTGGACTTCATCCTAAAACATGGATTTCTGTAAATGGTTCAACAGAGCACACCAAGTCAACATTTTACTAGACAAATAATTTATTGAAGTGAATCCTAGGCATCACAGCAAAACAGCAAAAGTCAAACACACTGATGTGTAGAGTCCAAATACTGACAATAGATAACTAAGTGAAAAATTCAACAACCCGACATTGCATTGTTACTGTCACACTGTAAAATCAAACACATTAGTAAGTTAAAGTTACACCTTAAGATGTAAGAAAATTGAATAATAGTCCATAGTTCCTTCCAAACTAAGAATGGGAAGAAATGGCAAATATTGATCAACTTGACAGACTAAAATAACAAGGAACAGATGATTTAGCATGTACAATTGGTCATTTTAGACCAATAACTTTTATGCTATACAAATAGCAACATAATTCAATGTCATTAAATTAAATATTGAGTGCAACCACAATTCCAAGATGAGGTGTTCATGACATGTCAACATCCTTTTTAGCTTGGAGGCAGAATAAGTATTTGTAAGGACTTGACATCTCAATAATCATGTAAACTATTTTTCTGACAAAAATATATATTCTTACAATTATATCAATATCAGTGCTTTTGGTTTATAAACGAGAGCAGGGCGAGCACTTTTCTGAGTCTAAGTCCAAACAAGCACTCCAAATGCTTTATTTTTGACTATGGCTTTTTCAGAGATACAAATTACCGTACATTATATTACATGATAAACACTTTTCCCTACAAACTTACAACACTATGCAGTTAGCCAGACGTGTATTTGTTTTTTCAGAAAGTGTTTTTCTACAGTCAAGATAACAATTCAGTTATGGAGAATGTAAAAAAAAAAAAATCCTTCCATTTGACATTTTTGTGTAACAAAATGGAAATCTTTGATAGCTGATCTTGACAAGCAAGTAAGTACCAATCCATTGTAATCTGCACAAATATAAAACATTCATTGCAAAGCACAGAACCATTCATCACACAACATGGATAATTAGATGCACTTATTAGTCCTTAATTACAATAGTTATGATTTGAAAGTCAAGGTAGTGTTTATGCATTCTGTTGTCTTAAAGGACAGTCAATCAAGCTCTAAATCATATTAATACAAAATAACCTAAGACGAACCCACCAATCAAGTGTGCTCACTCGTATAAAGACATAGAGCAACAGTGGACATTGCCTTTATAGAAATTATACGCCGCCGCAATCCAATGGTATAGATATCATACGTCCTTATCAAACTGTGTACTGTATCACCCCAGCATGAATCGGCTCAAAGTGGAAAGAAAATATGAACATTTTCCATTTGTTATCATTAAGATGTATAGGCCTAGTCCTTCAGTGAACACACATTCTATGAGTTTCTCAAACCCATCCCGTCACCATTCAGACCCTGTCTGACATTTTCGGAAACATAAATGAGACGTGTGTATAACATGCGTGTATCAACAATACATGTCTATTGCACATTTCACAGCATGACCAAAGTGTAAAAAAATTAAAATACAATCATAATTCCCTAAATAAATACAACAGTGCCAAGCAAGTTGAACTTTTTTCAATTTAAGAGTTACTTTAACATGCTCAGTTGTTCATGTTGATACATTTTAAGGAGTTAGATATTTATACCAGCTGGAACTACCTTAAATATTACATTACGAGGCCAGGTCAAGTAAGATGGCATTGTTGTCTATGCGTAGCGTAACTCTATAGACGAAAATAAATGATGGTGTGGGGTAAAAATAGATACAGTAGTATCACAATGTTATTTTTTACAATATTGTATTGATTCTATGACTAAGTATCAATTCTAAAATATATATTATTATAATTAACATTATTTCTCCTTCTCTAGCTTGTTATCCATCTTTTTAAATGGTGAGCCAACATGTTTTCAGCACTTTTATTTCCATGACTGATCAAAACTCATTTTCTCATGGCTCTTGTCCCTCTGCAGCAGACATGGTGAGCAATATGTTTGGAACATCGAATCGCAATATCGAATTGCAATACATATATAATTGAGAGTCGCAATACATAGTATTGTGATAATATCATATCGTGAGGTCCCTGGCAATTCCCAGCCCTAGCTTGGACATATGGCAAGATGCATTTGCGAGTGTCTTTGGCTGAGCTGCGAACACAAATAGCCAGAGAGGGGAAAGGATGACTCACCCTGTACTGCTGTCTGTCTTAGGACCATGTCGAGTGATGTCACAGGTTGTGAAGGAACCCTCCCGGTGGTCTACAAGCGTGGCCGCAACATTGTCGAGAGCCTTATGAGATCTGACCTGCCCCTAAGCGCACTCAAACATTCTTGGCACCCATTCCAAATGGGACATTCAAATGTTGTTCCTGCAGACAATGCAACAGCACTACATAAACATCCTTCACCCACATACAGGCTGGAACATTTCTGTTAGTGGTGTCATCTCATCCCCTGTTCGTGTGGGAAAGCTTACGTTGGACAAAATAACCCATTCCAAATGTGACATTCAAATGTTGTTCCTGCAGAAAATTAAAACAACAAATAGCTGAACACCACAGCTCAATCAGGTGTAAGAACACTGGCTACCCAGTAGCGGCTCACTTTGTTGAAGCTAACCATCCTATCGCCCCCTCAAATACATCGTATCGAGCAGCTTACTCTAACAAGGAAGAGGTAACATCGAGACCCTACAGCTACAGAGGGATGCCCACTGGATTTCTTATCTTAAAACGCTGATGAACATATTCTGTCCACAGCTTATTAGCTTGCACATATCATACTCCAATTAAATGGTTGGGAGCATATATAGAGTGCGACATTATACATTTTTATACAGGTTGTGAAGGACCCAGGTGTGGCTCACCAGTTGCGATACAGGTAGAGGGAGGTGAAGAACAAGTTGGCGCTCAGGCTCGCAAGGAGGAGGCCCGGCCAAAGAGAGCGATCCAAGAGACCTGCAAACCACAACAGAGGGGAAAAAAAAAAAGAAAAGTGTCAGTGTGACCAACCTGGGTTCGAACCTGGGTTGCCTGTGTGCCACAAGTGTGTTATCCCTCTGAGCTAAAGCCTAGGCATTTGCTCAGGTAACTAGGAAGGTAGGCCTATCAGGCAAGGTTACTTGTCACAAGACCTTGGTTCCGAACCACCTTTAATTTATACTACTGAATTAATTGAAAAGTAGATTGGGTAAATTGCCTGCCAATCTTTCTTATATTTGTCAACCATCATCCATGACCAACCAAGCAATTGAATAATGACAGTCTTTGGTTAGATCTGATTATTATATTTCTCTCTCTATTAGATCATTACTAGATATCAGTGCTCACCTTTCCATCCGGGGGTGCTGTCCATGCCTCCTGTGGTGGTGTCCACCATACAGGCTGAGGAGCCCGAGGAGCTGCCCCGTCTCTTCTCGTGCTCTTCTGAGATTACACTGCCTTCCATCAGCAAGGAGCTCAAGTCTGGAATCACATCACAGTGGAGCCATGCGTCAGTCAAACACACATGCACCCAAAGTCATTCCTTTCTCAAAGCTTTCACATCGGACTATGTTAAGTGAGTCATCGATGAATACATTTGACTAAAAAGAGATGAAATGGATAGAGGCTAACACCAGTAATTAACAAAGCATAAAAACCCTGAGAATCAGTGTAGTCCCGCCTCCCTCTGCAAAACACGTAAATATTAGCCTATAAATTGTACCTTCCTTTATTATACTTATGCAAAAATGTTTATTCTATACTACTGAGCCATTTACTTTATGTTCGTATTCTTATAATTTCTTATTGTTGTTGCATTGGCGAGAAGGAACCTGCAAGTAAGCATTTCATTGGATGGTGTATACAGTTGAAGTCAGAAGTTTACATACACTTTAGCCAAATACATTTAAACTCAGTTTTTCACAATTCCTGACATTTAATCCTAGTAAAAATTCCCTGTCTTAGGTCAGTTAGGATCACCACTTTATTTTAAGAATGTGAAATATCAGAATAATAGTAGAGAGAATGATTTATTTCAGCTTTTGTTTCTTTCATCACATTCCGAATTAGTATTTGGTAGCATTGCCTTTAAATTGTTTAACTTGGGTCAAACGTTTTGGGTAGCCTTCCACAATCTTCCCACAATAAGTGGGTGAATTTTGGCCCATTCCTCCTGACAGACCTGGTGTAACTGAGTCAAGTTTGTAGGCCTCCTTGCTCACACATGCTTTTTCAGTTCTGCCCACAAATCTTCTATAGGATTGAGGTCAGGGCTTTTTGATGGCCACTCCAATACCTTGACTTTGTTGTCCTTAAGCCATTTTGCCACAACTTTGGAAGTATGCTTGGGGTCATTGTCCATTTGGAAGACTCATTTGCGACCAAGCTTTAACTTCCTGACTGATGTCTTGAGATGTTGCTTCAATATATCCACATCATTTTCCTTCCTCATGATGCCATCTATTTTGTGAAGTGCACCAGTCCCTCCTGCAGCAAAGCACCCCCACAGCATGATGCTGCCACCCCCATGCTTCACGGTTGGGATGGTGTTCTTCGGCTTGCAAGCGCCCCCCTTTTCCTCTTAACAGTTCTATATATTTTTAAAAAATCATACCAGAGGACATTTCTCCAAAAAGTACGATCTTTATACCCATGTGCAGTTGCAAACCGTAGTCTGGCTTTTTTATGGCGGTTTTGGAGCAGTGGCTTCTTCCTTGCTGAGCAGCCTTTCAGGTTATGTCGATATAGGACTCGTTTTACTGTGGATATAGATACTTTTGTACCTGTTTCCTCCAGCATCTTCACAAGGTCCTTTGCTGTTGTTGTGGGATAGATTTGCACTTTTCGCACCAAAGTACGTTCATCTCTAGGAGACAGAACGCGTCTCCTTCCTGAGCGGTATGACGGCTGCGTGGTCCCATGGTGTTTATACTTGCGTACTATTGTTTGTACAGATGAACGTAGTACCTTCAGGCGTTTGGAAATTGCTCCCAAGGATGAACCATACTTGTGGAGGTCTACAATTATTTTTCTGAGGTCTTGGCTGATTTCTTTTGATTTTCCCATGATGTCAAGCAAAGAGGCATTGAGTTTGAAGGTAGGCCTTGAAATACATCCACAGATACACCTCCAATTGACTCAAATGATGTCAATTAGCCTATCAGAAGCTTCTAAAGCCATGACATCATTTTCTGGAATTTTCCAAGCTGGTTAAAGGCACAGTCAACTTAGTGCATGTACACTTCTGACCCACTGGAATTGTGATACAGTGAATTATAAGTGAAATAATCTGTCTGTAAACAATTGTTGGAAAAACTACGTGTGTCATGCACAAAGTAGATGTCCTAAACAACTTGCCAAAACTATAGTTTGTTAACAAGAAATTTGTGGAGTGGTTGAAAAACGAGTTTTAATGATTCCAACCTGTGTATGTAAACTTCCGACTTCAACTGTACCATGTGTATCCTGCACATACAAATAATAAAACTTGAAATATCACATTTAGTGTACGATCTTTGAATACGTGTTCATGCTTAAAAAAGATACATTCATAAACGCATATCTACACCCAGTGGTTCGTACCATTACTACTGTGGTACGGGGATACGTCTGGCAGATGGAAGCTTCCGCTGTGAAAAGGGGCGGGCTCTGCTGAGAAGTGGTTTGGCAGCGTCGGGGTTGGTGGGGGCTGGGGCTCTGTGTCAGATGAGAAGAGGCGGAGTTTCTGTCCACTGATGTTGAGTCTTGCTGGGCTGATGAGTGGGCGGCGGTGGCGAGAGCTGGAGCTCGACGTGACTGAGCCGGCCACCGAGGGGGTCGGGGAGGGGCCTGGGGATGACGGACGGCTCCCAGACTTCAGGGAGAAATAATCTGCTCCAAAAGAAAAGGTGGAAGTTGTTTTAGTCAAATCTGTAGAACAACTGCAAAACTCATTGTCCTGTTCTATGTTATTCATAGTAGATTTTAACATGTTACATCGAATGTTTTGAGAGAAAATCAAAACGATGCTAAATTTGATACTTCAGATCCGGGATATTCAACCTGGGGTCTGTAGAGGTACTGCAGGGGGTTCCGCGAAAATATAAATAAACTATATATAAATTAAACAAAAAAGTGGACAAAATATGTTTTTATGAATATCGCTAGCAACAACAGAATAAACACATTTTTGGAATTGCATGCCTACAGTAGAAAACATAATATATTATTTGGTGTCAACTTTATCTCAACTCTAATATTGAGCAAATTACACTAATTGGAGCGAAGTACACTGACTGGAGTATCTAAAGCCTTGTTCACACTGCAAGCCTTAATGCTCAAATTAGTTTTGTTTTTCAAATCCATTTTAGACCACAGACTGTCCAAACAGCAAGTTACAAGTGACCAAATCGGATGTGTGTGTTCAGACAGCAGTCATTTGCTGACAAGGCTACGCTAGTTGTCATAGTAACGACGGGTGTGTGTGCAGTGGTGTAGGCTGATCGGTGGTGGTGCTTGCGCTTCCTATCACTCAGAAGTTATGTAGCATGCTAAGGTGCCAACAATGCCTGCCATGGATGTTTCCCAGTTGCTTTGAATGTTCGAAATCATAGGGTAAGAACACTTAAAGCCTCAAAGGGTAACATGATCCAACTTTCAAAATGAGTCCTTTTTGGCTAGCCACAACAGTCAACTAGCTAGCTGTTTAGCTTTCTAGCACATTCACTAATTTGTTTGTAAACAATTAACAAGCTAGTTAGCTACCACATGTTCTTGTCAAACTGTCAACAGAGTAGCGCGAAAGCATCAAGATTTGTATAACAGTCTAAAAACCACTTGAGGGCAAATCAATAATTTGACCATTGAGACAAGCCACATGGCCAGGAATCAGATTTGTATCGGACTTCAAATGTGGCTTGAAATATCTGATGACATGTGCTTTTTGGCTGTTCAGACTGCAGGAAAAATAACTGATTCGAATCAGATATGCAAATAAATAGGATTTGAGTCCCTTCAAACTGCCAATGTGAACCAGGCTTTGAAAAAGCACCTGTGAGTACCATTCACGGCAAGTGCCACTGGCTGTTGGTAAGCTTTCTTGACTTAAGACATTCATTTTGGCTAACATGGCTCACCTCTGTTTAGTTATCTTTCTAACTAATTGGCTGTTAGAGTTTAAACTTCATCTTCCAATTATGTAGGGTCAAAATAAACCTCTAACAAACCTAAAAAATCTAAAAATATTTATTACTTCTTCTTGCCATTATCATTTACATTTTAGTCATTTAGCAGACGCTCTTATCCAGAGCCACTTACAGTTAGTGAGTGCATACATTTTTCATACTGGCCCCCCGTGGAAAACGAACCCACAACCCTGGCGTTGCAAGCGCCATGTTCTACCAACTGAGCTACAGGGGACTATCATTCACCTGATAAGACAAAAAACTTTTTTGCTAACATGATGGGGGTCCCTGGGTCACCGGTTTGCCTGGGCGGGGGTCCCTGAGCAAAAACAAAAAACAGGGCGAGTTGTAGAAACTATAAATTGCAACATTTAGCCAATGCTCAACGTTACCTGAAGGTGGGGAGTCTTTGCACTGTGAAGGTGGCCTACTTCCACTGAACAGGTAGCCGGAATCTAAAAGACATGAGCACACTATCAATTAGAATAGGGTTTCCCGAACTTGGTCCTGGGGGCACGATTTGGTTTTTGCCCTAGCACTACACAGCTGATTCAAATAACCAACTCCTCATCAAGCTCTGATTATTTGAATCAGCTTTGTAATGCTAGGGCAAAAACCAGAACGTGCACCAGGACCGACTTTGGGAAACCCTGAATTAGAACATTTCCCGGTCAAATAAACCTCCATGCAACAACATGCATACAACACATATGATCAAAACAAAGTAAGTTATTCTGTGATCTGTGTAGCCATGTTTTAGAATTCTACTAGCTAGTTACCAATGTTGTGAAGCATGTAATAACCGCGCCACATAACCCTGTTACTGCCTTATGTCATTGTACTGTCCTCCTTATGGTGTATGTAATTGATAGCAGCCAAGAAAGTACCATAGAAGTGCAAGCTACACAGTTAAATATGACCACCGGGTGGCGCTGAATCACAGTGCATAGAATGAAAGGCAGAACAGTCATGTACAGAACCCGAAAGACAACCTGAGGCGCCGGCCATCTTACCTGTTCTGGCGAGGGATGGGATGGTGCCGAGGTACAGGGCTCGGTTGAGGCGACCGGGCAGGGAAGAGGGAGAGGCTTTGCGTTCTCGGGGGCTCTGCTGTCGATTGATGAGCTGGGAGAGGTTTGGGGGTGGAGTGGGGATGAAGGTAGAGGAGGAGCCAGGGGAGATGGGAGAGAGCAGGGGAGCCTGGCCACCGTACAGCGAGTCCACAGAGCTACCTGAAAGGTACCTGCAACAGAAGAAGAGCACAATCGATCCACCACTGAACTCGACACCTCTGCATTTAGCTATGTGAATTGAATCAGGTTTTTTTGATAAAAGGGTTTTCCTTCCCCTTTTGTAAATACATTACTCAAAATGGAGAAGAGACTTTGCAGGTAGAGGTGGTTTGGGGGATTTTAATATAGCCAATTATGGTAACAATAGGGGCAAAAATTCAAAATCAAATTCTCTGTATAGCCCTCCAGTATTTCTTAAAAGGCCCAGTGCAGTCAAAATTCAGTTTTTCCTATGTTTTATATCATATTGTACAACAACTGATGAAACTAACACTGAAAGTGTGAAAACATGTGATCAGTGTTATTTCCTGATAGTTGCTGGTTGAAAATACAATCTACATAGGACCTTCATGGTGACGTCACCATGCGGTAAATTGGTTAATAGACCAATAAAGAGAGTTCCACACCTCTGCCAATAACAGCTATTTTTCCCCTCTTGACTCAGTCCACTCCCAGACAGTCCTAGCAGAATTCTTGCTTGAGAAATAATTGCAAATAAAAGCAATTTTGGCCATTTTAATGGAAATCTATTACAGTAAGGTACTTAATTGTTACCCAGAAATGACTTAAATGTCGATATAAAAACGGCGGCATTGTGCCTTTAGTTATTTTTAATACTGTAAAATCTATTTTTGGTGCGAGAAATGTGCTTTACAAATACAATTATTAAATAAAATAATTTTATTGTATTATTTTACAGATGTGATATTAATAATTTTATTTGTAAAGGTCCAATTAGTCAAATTGCAGGTTAGCGCAAACAATTTCCGCAGAAACAGCCCATTGAAAATTAGCTACAACGATACCTGCATTGCCCCCCGTACATAATTTATAAAAAGGTGGGAAAAATCGAGAAGGATCACATTGTATTTAACAGTGGATTAACGTTAGTCCTTGCATCCATAGCTTTGTTTATACATTTGAGTGGTGACATTTCTCCAGCCCCATCCCTCAGCTGTTAACCAAAACCGTTGCGGGATGACCGCTATGTTGTGTTAACTGCAGATTGCACTTGAGTGAAGGCAACTCGACATCATTAATGAAGGTAGGCCTATTCAATCCTGGTTGAGGTCGATGACAGTAACTCTTTGTCCAACAATTGGTGACTCAGAGTATACCTCAATCCACCCTGCCAATACTTATTCAAGTGTACATAGAAGGCAATGGTCAGACAAGGTCAAACAACCCTTCTATCCAGCAGTGAATGTTATTAGACACGGGAGTGATGAGGCTACATGTAAATGGGTGCCATTGACAGTCTATCCCAGCTGTCTGACAAACATGAACCAGCTGACAGTACCGGTTATACTAGTGACGCTAGTGGCAAACATAGAACAATTCATAAAAGATCTTAGTCAAGAGTACACATACAACTGCCAAGTCCATTTAGTAGCATTCTTACATTCATTACACACAACGTTTATATACATATAAACAATGTTGTATAACATACAGTACACTAGCGTTTTCCAAACTCAAACCTCGGGACCCCAAGGGGTGCACGTTTTGGTTTTTGCCCTAACACTACACAGCTGATTAAAGCTTGATGATTAGTTAATTATTTGAATCAGCTGTGTAGTGCTAGGGCAAAAACCAAAATGTGCACCCCTTGGGATCCCGAGGACAGAGTTTGGGAAACCCTGCAGTACACTATACCCCCTTCTAATCTAGGCTACTTGGCGCTGACAGAATGTAGTGCTCTCTCTTCCTAAGCACATTAAAAAAGTAAGCTGGACTATACTGGTCAAGGTGAAAACCACAGAAGTGTATTTTGTAAAGGTCAAAACACACAACGAACAGTGACCGGAACATCAGACGTCATTTTCGGACAATTGCACTTGTTCAATGCCCACCGTTTGTCAGTGACCACTAAGAGCAGGTGATTGTAAACACACAATAGCTACCCGCTGCTTTTAGCCATTCGTCTTTGCGGTGTCTCTGAGGTATAACATTCTTTTAAGATAAGGGTTAAGAGCAGGCCATGCATTTTTCTCACAAAATAATGGGATAAATAGAAAAGGCATAACATTTCAGTCATTTATTTAATTCGATTTACAGTGATCAATCATACATGGTTTACTAATACAAAATAACCCCAATAGGCTATATGAAGGGTAGTGACAACCTACAATATTCAAGATGCAGTTCCCAAAAGAGAAAGTGTTTCACTTGGAATATGCTGCAGTTTATTTTTTAGAATGGACGGAATTGCTTAAATAGTTGCTTTAACAAAAATATAGGAACTTCACATAAATGAGCATTGGATATTACATGAAAGCTTATATTGTATGTTTTGGAATACGCATTAATCGTTCCATACTCATACATTAATGATAAGATAAAGTACCATAATTTATTTGGTGTATCAAAGGGATAGTTCAGCCAAACTGCATATTTATATATTTGTTTCCTTACCTGTGAAGCAGTTTTTGGACAAGGAGAGGTAAGGAAACCTTGTTTCAAGGTAAGGAAACAAATGGATTACGTTTGTTTTTTGTGTGATTTGTCTGAACAATCGCTTTAATCTTAGAAAAATGGGGCACACCTCAATCTCCCTTCAGGGTACTGAATCTTTAAGTGTTTCAGCATTGCAACACATATACAGTATAAAGGTAAGCAAAAATGCACTAGATTCACAAACTAATGAGTTCTTACTATCACATTGTTAGCTACACACTTAAATAATGGGCACAAATAAATTAGTTTAAAAAAGTTGCATAACCTACATTCGCCAATTTGGCATAAACCAAAATAACTATCAAGTAATCCCTTGTTTCTATGGTGAATAGAAATACACAAAGCAATAACCATTTTTAAAAAATACACATAACATACACATACAGTGGGGAGAACAAGTATTTGATACACTGCCGATTTTGCAGGTTTTCCTACTTACAAAGCATGTAGAGGTCTGTAATTTTTATCATAGGTACACTTCAACTGTGAGAGACGGAATCTAAAACAAAAATCCAGAAAATCACATTGTATGATTTTTAAGTAATTAATTTGCATTTGATTGCATGACATAAGTATTTGATCACCTACCAACCAGTAAGAATTCCGGATCTCACAGACCTGTTAGTTTTTCTTTAAGAAGCCCTCCTGTTCTCCACTCATTACATGTATTAACTGCACCTGTTTGAACTCGTTACCTGTATAAAAGACACCTGTCCACACACTCAAACAGACTCCAACCTCTCCACAATGGCCAAGACCAGAGAGCTGTGTAAGGACATCATGGATAAAATTGTAGACATGCACAAGGCTGGGATGGGCTACAGGACAATAGGCAAGCAGCTTGGTGAGAAGGCAACAACTGTTGGCGCAATTATTAGAAAATGGAAGAAGTTCAAGATGACGGTCAATCAACCTCGGTCTGGGGCTCCATGCAAGATCTCACCTCGTGGGGCATCAATGATCATGAGCAAGGTGAGGGATCAGCCCAGAACTACACGGCAGGACCTGGTCAATGACCTGAAGAGAGCTGGGACCAGTCTCAAAGAAAACCATTAGTAACACACTACGCCGTCATGGATTAAAATCCTGCAGTGCACGCAAGGTCCCCCTGCTCAAGCCAGCGCATGTCCAGGCCCGTCTGAAGTTTGCCAATGACCATCTGGATGATCCAGAGGAGGAATGGGAGAAGGTCATGTGGTCTGATGAGACAAAAATATAGCTTTTTGGTCTAAACTCCACTCGCCGTGTTTGGAGAAAGAAGAAGGATGAGTACAACCCAAGAACACCATCCCAACCGTGAAGCATGGAGATGGAAACATCATTCTTTGGGGATGCTTTTCTGCAAAGGGGACAGGACGACTGCACCGTATTGAGGGGAGGATGGATGGGGCCATGTATCGCGAGATCTTGGCCAACAACCTCCTTCCCTCAGTAAGAGCATTGAAGATGGGTCGTGGCTGGGTCTTCCAGCATGACAACGACCCGAAACACACAGCCAGGGCAACTAAGGAGTGGCTCCGTAAGAAGCATCTCAAGGTCCTGGAGTGGCCTAGCCAGTCTCCAGACCTGAACCCAATAGAAAATCTTTGGAGGGAGCTGAAAGTCCGTATTGCCCAGCGACAGCCCCGAAACCTGAAGGATCTGGAGACGGTCTGTATGGAGGAGTGGGCCAAAATCCCTGCTGCAGTGTGTGCAAACCTGGTCAAGACCTACAAGAAACGTATGATCTCTGTAATTGCAAACAAAGGTTTCTGTACCAAATTTTAAGTTCTGCTTTTCTGATGTATCAAATATTTATGTCATGCAATAAAATGCAAATTAATTACTTAAAAATCATACAATGTGATTTTCTGGATTTTTGTTTTAGATTCCGTCTCTCACAGTTGAAGTGTACCTACGATAAAAATTACAGACCTCTACATGCTTTGTAAGTAGGAAAACCTGCAAAATCGGCAGTGTATCAAATACTTGTTCTCCCCACTAAGTGACACTAATAGATGTATGCTCACAACATAGTTAAAATAATAAGGTTAGGCAATTTTTTTTTGCTAAAAACATTGGTTGAGATACACAATAGTTGTTAGTATCCATTAAAATCAGGTATACTAGCATACTCATATGATGTAAAACATGAAGAGTCACGTACGCTTTCATGGGCAAATGCCAAACTAGTAACAGAGGGAAATGTGCTAGAACCAGTTAAATACATTTGGCATTGTAACGCATATTACATACAAATTGGCTACATACTCAAATAATAGTTTTGCAGACTGAAAACTGTCAAAACAATGTAACAGCATCTGTATCACAGAAATCCAGATTTTCACAAAACTGACTGTGGGTATTGTCTCAAGCTAGGTTTCCATCCAATTAGCGAAAGATTTATGATATTCTAAAATCTGCATAAAACAATATGCACATTTTCCCACAAGATGCGTTTCCATCAAACTGACTTACTACACAAAAATAACTTCTGCGGTTACATGTCCATGTACTGAACAAAAAATACAAGTTAAATGAGTTTCCATCGCATTTTCAACTCTGATGGTTTTGTCAAAAACTGTTGCGGTATATAACACTATGGTCTTGGCACATGCGCACTTTTGCAACAGCTGGCAGATACAGTGTGGGTAGGCTACATACATGATGAGATTATTATGGATAAGAGCAAAATTATTTTTGTCAAAACAGCAGCCAAGCATCGATGATCATGTCACCAGAATAAGACCCTCGATATTTATTGGAAAGGAGAAACTCATCACTGTGCACTTTCACCACCCTGTGAAGTTCATCAGAGCCTAATAAACTGCATGCTTTCCCGAATCGTAGTGGGAGGACCACACAACATATCGCGTAAGTCCAAGTTTATATTCAATATGATCGTTTTTATATCAATATTTGCACAAAGGCGTTTCCACCGCCATTTCTCGCATAATTAATTTGACCGAACGAACAAATAGTCTGTCGACATTTATAAAATTGTACTGGCATTTCCTGTTTCCATCAGCCCAGTCGTGACTTTTTTCATGCGTCAGGTAATTCATCCAAATGAAATGGTTAGATGGAAACCTGGTTACAGATGCTGGGTACATAAACCAAAAAGTTGAGAATACAACATACATGAGTTGGTGCAGTAATGTTACCCTCGAGTACAATCTACAGACGTTCTTCACATCTATCATTTAAATACAGTAATATTCACTCAAAAAAAGAAGATACACATGAATAGGTATAGCATGTTATGTGTAGCATTCCTGTCTAATTTTACATCACAAACAAAAGCTACATTAAACACAAAGTATCATCAAACCCAATATTAGTGCATGCTTGAGGGCTGGGGAGCTGTCAGTGGATTTTAATAAGGAAGGGAAAGTGGAGGCACATAGCAGTATAGTTAGGCCTATTATTTCCTCTAAAATATGGATTAGCATATGCTTTACAAGAGGATACTCGATTCTACAATCAGAACCTAACATGCAAAGACAGAAAACAGAAAGACTGCCACAAAAATGTACCACTCTGGGGGACAAAAAAGTACTGTGGTGTACACAAAATATGAAAAATATTTTAAAAAATCTTCAGGAGAACACCCTGTACCTGGGGAAACTACAAGTGAACTGTATACAGCTTCCACTTAATCATAAGCTTGTTTGTCTTCTTTACACAACCGTAGAGAAATACAGGTCAAAAGCAGTGGCACTTTTGAGTTTCAATACCAAGAGTAGTCAGTCTTATTGGTAAAGATTTGTGTGAACAAAACCTTTCTTCAAAACACCTACCCAACTGTCGTTTCATTCGAAACTTCAAGAATAAATTCAGTATACCAGGAAAGCCAACCAACACCATTATATTAGTGTGGTCTTTATAGTTGCAAAACTATAAAGGTAAAAAGCAGTGATGTAACAATATTTAGCCTAGCGGTATAACAATTTGACACCTTGTCACAACAAGCTTATCAGAGTGGCTCGGTTTCCATAATTATTGTGAAATAGGTCAAACAAACCATACTGTTTTTACAGTGCAAAACTTGTTGGATGAATGCCTGAATTCAGCACAACTGGACGGGCATTCAACATTTAAAAAAGCACATAGAAGATATCTTGTTGCAGATGCATGGGAAAAATACATAACTTCAAAGAGAAACCCGCACATGGGACATGGGCATGAAAAAGACTATGGGCTCCATTTTACATGCGTAGTGCAGCCCAGCCAGTGAGCAAAGTATACTGGACGGCAAGCAATCCTGGGTTTGGAATAATCTCAGCACCTAGAACCAAAATATTGTGTGCATGCTGGCCAGCTACTCGATTTGGTTTTGGGAGCAGGTTTTTTTTCTCCATCTAAACTGACTAGTTCTCTGCCAAAGCCTGTCCCCAGACTCTCTCCTTCCAAAACGTTTATTAGTCCACCAAATACAAATCGCACAGCACACAATGGGAGGCATCGGACGATATTGTCAAACTTTTTCGCCGGCTAGCAGTGTTACTATAGAATTTACAGATTAAAATCACATTCCCACTACAAGCACCACCCCAGGATTCGTCACAATAATCAGGTTTTGAAATAAAAAGGACTCACTCTTTGGCCTAACCCTTCCATAAAATGTGATAGGCGTGGTTTGCCCTGTCAAAGTATTAGCCATCAGGGTTATAAAAAGGAATTCCTAACAAGATCGAGGCTTGAGCCATGCTAATGTCAAAGAAAAAGGCAGCACATCGATCTGTTCATATCCGCTACACAGCCAATTGATTTCTGAGTTTCAATTCTCCGAAAACACAGCTACAATTTAAGTGTTAGCTATGCATCCTTGCTTAATGGGAGTCCCTGTGTTGTTTAGATAGGGTTGTTGATAAAATGACTTTCCAAATAAATAGGATAAATCAGAAAGTTGCATTAGACAACCAATGCCAAGTAAGAAATCTTCAGATTAGGCTAATAACATGTGCATCAATTAGTTGGTTAATATCAGCAAAGGAGAGATGAGAAAAGACGGGAAAGTCATATGCGTTAGAGAAACATATCCTATGTGTTCACATGTGGGTCCTAGTGTATTCGGTGGGTCTTATAAGTATATTTAAGTGTCACTGTTCAGATTCTGACCTTCGACCTCTCGCTCTTCTAGGGCCCATGGATTTGCGTGTTGCCACGGCAGCGGCAAAGCCGACCAGGCAACATAAGGAGGTGGTGCCGAGTTTGACTGTATCCAGCCAGCTTGAGACATCAGCTTTCAGGTATCTCTCCACCAAGTACAGGCACAAGACCAGGAACCACAGGACAGAGGCCACGGCATCAATTCGCCTCAATCTGAAAACCCAGGAACAAAGTATATAACTACTGTCTGGAATTTAAAAAACTAAAAAGGCATTTTTCAGGGCCTCTTGGACCTTCTCTTCATGCTCAAAAAGGTCAAAATTCACAAAGATTATTTTCAATTTAAGTAGCCAAAACTCCAGGTTCAGGCACCAGTGCATACCCGGAATTCTTCATCATAGAAACAATGAGTTAAGAGGAGTTCCATGAATTACCTGACATGTCCTCCTAGACAGACACCAGTGATACAGGTCAGCAGGCCAATGGAGACCACAGCCATCTGATGGTTCCTTCCATACTGCCAGACAAGCTTTGCATTCTCTACGGCCTCCACTGGAAGCAGCTCCAGCAGGTCTTTCCACACCTGTCCAGCCTCGCTGCTGCCGTTTTTGGGAGTCGATTCATTGCAGGGAGCAGGCTTTGGAGGGATGATCCCTCCGCTTAGTGTTTGGGGTGCACCAGCGGGTGCAGTTTGGTCCCCAGAGCCATACAGTGCTGTTGCAACTAGGAAGGCACAGGTGAAAAACGCCAGGACACGAAGCAATATCACTCCAACTGGTGTGCTGAAGGAGTAGGAGCTCTGTGAAAAAAAAGTTTAGAGCGTAAGGATAGATGTGAATTCCTATAATGCCACGTCTAGACCCCTTGTGAATGTTAATCAAATGTGCACACCTATTTCTGCGGAGTAATCAATTTATGCACTTAAATCATTTCTTACTGATAGCTTCAGCTGAAACGCATCGAAAGACCTGGCAGTGGTAAATGCATTTCTATTTCTTAGATCATTTTCTACTATAAGTCTAGTGCTGATGCTTGCTCAACAGTCTTATCAGATGGACTTGTTTCCATTGAAAGTGACCTTTACGAAGGCTTTGTCACAGTCTCTGCTGCGTCTGAGCTGGTGGCTGAAGAGCACGGCCCGGAGCTGGCGGTTCTGGTGCTTGATGTAGTACTCCACGGCCGTCTGACAGGGTCTGCACAACTTGTAGGTCTGCTCCACGTGGTGCTTATACACCTCAATCTCCTCATCATAGTTCTCCTAGGGTAGGGAAACCAAAATATCATTGTTGTTTTTCCTGTGACCACATTGGCTTTATACAAACTCACCCTGGATCACACATACTGCAGTTTTCCACAAATCAAAGAGTAAAATAAAAAATAAATAAAAAATACATACATCTTCCCTTGGGGTGAATGAGGCCAACTGCTTGATCTTGACGGTCTGGTTGTTGTTGCATTTTTTACACAACAGCATCTGACAGTTGACCCACTGCAGCGTTTTTGGTGTCTCAGGCAAGGGCACGCCGGCAGACACGCCATGGTTCAGATGCTCCGAGAATTGAGCAGGAATAGGTTTGTTGTAGTCTCCATTCTAGAAGCAAGCAAGACAAGTACAAGGACCAAAGTGAGGCTCAGAGATTCTTGAAAGATTGGACCATTTCTTTCAGTTCTCTTAATATTAACGATATTACAATATATTTTTTTATGCATATTTTTTCATTGACCAAAGTTTCAGCTATCATCGCATGTAAAGGAACAACCTAATTAAAACCTTTTTTCATTAAATGCACCTAACTGTATTTATGTCAACTCCGTCAGACACCATAAAATACATTCTATTTTCATTGTCCAACAAGTGTTTAAAGGCCTTGATTGTTTCATTCCAACATTACTCAAATATTTAATAACAATTTGTACATTTATTTTTGTTTTGTTTTATGCCACTGTATAATGCTCCGGGGGGAGGGCAGATTTCATTAGCATTTTGGCATGTCTTTCTAGATTCAGAACATAAAACAAGATTTATAAAGCAAACATTATCCCTTATGTCTAGCACAGCAAATACTTCAATAAATTAAGCATAAAATAATCTATTTTAAAGTGATGCTAGAACTTGTTTTGTATAATTTCAGCCAGTAGTTTTGAAAGCAGCACTCACAAGCCAATCTCTCAATTGGGTAAGCTGTTTCAGCCTGAACACTATTCTCCTGCTTTGGTATGTTTCAGTCATTGCAAGTCCTGATGAGCAGGAGTGTGTGAAGGGTTTTGTCCCAGCCCAGCGTTAACACCTGACTTAAATAATCACTGCGATAGGCTATGATTTGTAATCAGTTATGAGCTGGGCTGGAACAAAAGCTTGCACACACTCCTGCCTACCAGATTTGGAGCTGTGCACCCTTTTTTTGGTATTTTATATTAGGATCCCCAGTACTGTTGCAAAAGCAGCAGCTACTCTTCCTGTGGTCCACACAAAACATGAAACATGACATAATACAGAACATTAATAGACAACAGCTCAAGGACAGAACTAGATAAATAAATATATATTTTTACAAAAGGCACGTAGCCTACATATCAATACATACAAACTATCTAGGTCAAATAGGGGAGAGGCGTTGTGCCGTGAGGTGTTGCTTTATCTGTTTTTTTTTAAACAAGGTTTGCTGTTTATTTGAGCAATATGAGATGGAACGGAGTTCCATGCAATAATGGCTCTATATAATACTGTACACTTTCTTGAATTTGTTCTGGATTTGGGGACTGTGAAAATACCCCTGGTGGCATGTCTGGTGGGGTAAGTGTGTCAGAGCTGTGTGTAAGTTGACTGTGCAAACAATTTGGGATTTTCAACACAATGTTTCTTATAAAAAGAAGTGATGCAGTCAATCTCTCCTCAACTCTTAGCCAAGAGAGACTGGCATTCATAGTATTTATATCAGCCCTCTGTCATTACTCTGCCTTAAGTCATTACTTTGCACAATGGGTACAATTGATGGTATTGATCTATAACTCATGCTCCACTCTTTATTAGAAGTTGAACTTGTTGACTTATGCCAAGGCGGCAGCTGCTAAGGGAGCAGTGGCAGACCAGACGACTGCAGCCAAGGCAGCACTGGTCCACACCTGCCCTATCTATCGGTAGTAGTATTGGTTGGTACTGTATGTGCCTCCCTGCTGAAAAAAAAAGCATAGACCAGCCTAAATTTCAAACTGGTCTGTCCAGCATGGTCTAGCTGGTTGCTCTGGCCAAGCTGGTGATGCTGGTGACCAAGTTGGTCTAGCTCAGGGATAGGCAACTGACCTGTTGTAGGCCTGTGGATCAATTTCCACAAACATAAAACACCCCGTTGGGCTCTCCACTTACTGTTGAGAGTTAGAATACACAAGGTGCAATCATCAAGATAGCTAGCCCCTTTGAAAAAAATTAGCCTATTCATGGCACAATGCAGGTTTTTTTCTGGGTCAAAATGGGGCTTTGGTGGTGGGCGTGGAGGGGGCGTGGCTGTGGGCATGGGCGACCAAACATTTTAGAGGCCCTCCTGTTTGCCGCAGTGAAAATCAATGGCATGACAAAAATACTCCGTTTTGGCATTTTAGATTCTCCCTGACTACAATCTCACCTCGCGCAGCAACACTGCCTGGCTGGGGAGCTGTGCGCACTGTGATAGAAGTGCTGAAGATTCATTTTTAGAAACACAGGCTTAAAAGGTTGGTCTAATTTACTTGAAAGTCTAATTATGGCAAAAAAAACATTTTGGCAGGTAAAAAATCTGAGTGTCTGACATATATATTTTTAATCTATCTATATTTATATACACAGTTGTGGAAAAAATTAAGAGACCACTTCAAATGTTTCTTAAATCAGCATCTCTACATGTATGACAGCCATTCCATTCCAGTGTCTGTTGAATTCCAACACAGGCACACCTCATTCTACTGAATTAGGTGATCACATGAACCAAATCCTATTTAACGAGGAAAAGTATAAAAACCACTGCTGTGGTCATCACTATCCCCTTGCAATAGGACCAGCTGGATGGCAAAAACAGTGCTAATAGTACCTCAAAAGTAATATTTAATCAAAAAATAACTATTGACCATGCAAAAAGTGTTGAAAAGGAAAGTTTTGAGTGAGGGAAAGAAGTGTTCAATTCTGGCTTTACTGGCAGAGGGATACAGTGAGCGTCAGGTTGCTTCCATCCTTAACATTTCAAAGACGGCTTTTCATAAGAACAAGGTCAAGCAGCAGACATTGGGGACAACAAAGCTACAGACCGGCAGAGGGCGAAAACGACACCCTACTGACTGGGATGACCGCCAACTCATTCAAATGTCACTCAACAACCGTAGGATGACATCAAGTGACCTACTACGGCCTCCTCCACGTCTCCTGATGTACTGGCTTGTCTCCTGGTAGCGCCTCCATGCTCTGGACACTACGCTGACAGACACAGCAAACCTTCTTGCCACAGCTCGCATTGATGTGCCATCCTGGACGAGCTGCACTACCTGAGCCACTTGTGTGGGTTGTAGACTCCGTCTCATGCTACCACTAGAGTGAAAGCACTGCCAGCATTCAAAGGTGACCAAAACATCAGCCAGGAAGCATAGGAACTGAGAAGTGGTCTGTGGTCACCACCTGCAGAAACACTTCTTTATTGGGGGTGTCTTGCTAATTGCCTATAATTTCCACCTGTTGTCTATTCCATTTGCACAACAGCATGTGAAATGTATTGTCAATCAGTGTTGCTTCCTAAGTGGACAGTTTGATTTCACAGAAGTGTGATTGACTTGGAGTTACATTGTGTTGTTTAAGTGTTTTCTTTATTTTTTTGAGCAGTGTATTTAGTTTTTGGATCAAGGCAGCTAGTAGCTAGCTGACAGCAAAGGTGTTGGCTAGAGATGAAGTCCAAGAGCTTGCAGGGATTTGTAGTCTTGCATGACGTCTACTTTGTTGCTAATTAGCATTTTCAAATCAGATTAAACAGAGCCGAATATATTGATAAATGTCACCTTGTCTGTGAGAGATTTACACGGTTATCAAACTTCACGCCAGGGAAAGCCTAAATGAAACACACACCTTTTTGTGAAGAAGTGGTTAAAAAATCCCCACTGGGCAAAATGAATGGTGAAAATAAGATTGGAACCATTTCCGTGTTTGACTGCTAGGTTTTATGACAACACTGGTACTCTATAGCTGACCCTGCTCATTCCTGAGTTTGAAATATTGATCCTTTGCTCAGGACAAGGTAATTTCGTGGCAGATAGACATGGAAATGAATAACATGGAAAATAACAAAAACAAATCTTATCCCTTATAAAATAACCCCTGAAGCAATTTTTTTAACCAAATAATGAAACAAAAATGCACTTTTTTCAACTATAAAAATGAAATGTCCCTGCCGGACAAGGATAAATAAAAAAGTGCAAGTACTATTCAGGGCTTGACATTAACGCTTGTCCTCAAGTCCTGGACAAAATTGTCTGATAAGAAAAATTGATTTAAGTTGTCTGAATGGAAGAATAATAATCACACAAATCAAAATATCAAACAATTACTCCGAACAGAATTGGATAAGATGCCAATGTTGGAATAATATTCAAATCTATTTTTCATATACATAAATAAAAAAAGCCTACATGTCAAAGTGTAGGTGATTGGCTACAGCCTCATGTCCAAACCGATGCTGACATGAAATGCCAGAAAATGTTGCCAAACTTTAATGAGACGTAATTAGGCCCCCCCCCCCCACAAACACACACAGGCTAAAACACCAGTCATGTTTGACAAATACAATGAAGGATACTTAACATTAACGTCTAAAGGCATGATTCTATCGACATACTCGGGGCACGGTTCATTCAGATCAAAATGATCACAAGACCGGAGAGTGAAGGACCCTGTAGCTCAGTTGGTAGAGCACAGCGCTTGCAACGCCAGGGTTGTGGGTTTGTTTCCCATGGGGGGCCAGTATGAAAGAAAAATATATAAAAAATGTATGCACTCACTAACTGTAAGTCGCTCTGGATAAGAGTGTCTGCTAAATGACAAAAAAAAAGGACAACGACTGTGGCGCACCGCACATCACCCACCTTGATTCTGAGCGGAGGCGGTCAGCAGTTTAAAACCATTTAACCTGGACGTTTCATGTAATTTTATGTTGCACGTCTTATCTTGTTTCAAAGTAGCCTAGCTGAAAGTTGAATGTCTCTCATGGCTTCGCTCACCCCTGGATGTACCACCTGCCAGTACCTGAGCCAGAGAGTCGCTGAGCTGGAGGGGAGAGTATCTGTCTTGCGCCAGATCAAGGAGGACGAGGAACTCCTGGACTCCATGGTTGCACAAACCACCTCCAAAATCGACGACGTCACCTGCCCCTGGCTCGGCACCTCCACTTCCCTTAAATGAGCCATGGCCCAGGCTAGGAGCTAAACCGAAGGGCCCGGTCTGTTCCACCCCTTCTGCTCCGCCTTAGGATGCCTAGATTGCTGTCCGGGGAGTAAAGCACTCCAGGAAACGGAATCCATCAAATGTTTCGGAAGTGCTACATTTGGGGAGGAGATTCAAGGTCCTGGAAGACCTGGAAGTGCATTCCAATCATACTGTACAGGGTCCCTCCGCTACATCTCTACTGCTGCCGTCTCACTCTCAGGTGGAAGTGCCCAAGCACACTCATCTGCGCTCCTTGCCTACCGCTAGGTCGTCAGTCTCAGCTGCTAGCC